AAATGTGGTTAAATTGTCTCTTAAAAGTAAATTACTAAATCATAAATTAATCAGCTGTTTCCCTTTGATTCTTATGAAAATACAAGAGTCATATAAACAAAAACATAGTACTTTCTGGTTTGAAATATGTTCATTTTAAAATTAATTTATATAACAAAGTAAACCTCTTCTTTAAATTAAATTTCTTTAAAATCATATAAATTGTTAATAGAAATTTTCTGTTAATTGTAATATGGGTTATTCCTGTTTTCCTATATTTTTTTTAACTACCAACAGATTAACCATGATTTTGGGTTAATCGTGGATGTTGTCACTAGAGGTACAAGAAGAAGCTATGCCAGCACCTCTGGACTACCATAGGTGATTGAGATATTGTTATACCTGGCTAAATGATAAGCTTCCATCCTGTTTGAAATTTCAAGAGAGAACACTCTGGGGAGTCCAAGGGTCTCCCATACTTCTTCCACTACTAACCAACCTCTAGGGAGGATTTCAGCTCATCATGCATTTTGAGTGCCCATTGCCACACAAATAATATATCTTTACAAATATCCATGCTTCTTCTGGATTCAAACCTGGACTCTTCAGTGCAGCAGACAGTGTCCTATCTGGGTGGTGAAATAGCAAATTTACTATAGTAAATTAGGATTCTACTGTATTTCATTGTATCAGAATTTAAAAAGTTATTTTTGCAAAATTAACAATGTCTTTTTTTATGGTTTTATGTGTACCTTATGCATATATGTTTATATGTATAGGTTATGCATATATATTTATTTATATAACTTTATGTAGTATTTATTTTCGAAATTTGAAATTTTTAAATATTTTCTAATGCCAGAATGCTAAGCTGGTTGCTTTCCATTTAAATTGGGGCTGCCAGTAGCCAAATGATAAAGTCGATGAACACTGGTGGTTCAGTCCGGGTTCGAATCCACATAAAGGGGCTGGCTGCATGGGTGTTTTCATGGTTTTTTCCTTGTGTGACATGTATACAAGCCAGTTTCTCTTAAGAAGTAGTAGGGATTTATATTTATTTTAACTAACAATTTAAATTCAGGCTTTTCTATAAGCCTTCATTCCCTTAATTGTCAGTGCCAAAATAGTTAAATATTGTAGCGCTCGTGATGGAATGCAAATTTTCTACTTTGAAGGAAGTATTTAAAAGCCGAGTTTCAGTAGGAGTTAAGAAGAGTTAGGCTCTAGCCGCCGTCTCTGCTGTAGGTACATTTGCTTATTGCTGGTTCAAGTGGCTTAATTGCATTTATTTGCGGCCACTAGCTTCGAAGGGGGTTTAAGTTATGGGGTCTCGCTGATCCCTGTAGGTTAGTTCTATCTCTTGTTAATATATGAACTTTTAGTTTCAATTATCTGACTTTCAGTTACTGCTCAAGCTGAGGTGAAGTTTGTTAGCGTTGATTTGACACTTTGTAAGTTTTCAAAGGTTTAATAAAGGGCAATTTAACCCTTCTCTTGTGTAGTTTTCTGCTACTCCAGTTTGACAGAAGTTCATATACTGGACTGTACAAAGTCTTTTATGAAGTCATCCCTATTCTTAGGCAGATGGCCCTCATGCTTCATCATAATGAAATGAATCAAACCATCCTTTTATGCTTGTTAAAAAAATAATTTGAGATTGATTTTTTCCCCATTTAATATCATTCAGTGATATTATTTTGTAATTAATTAGTCTGTAACATTCTTTAATTCATAATTTTGATTTGAGATGCCAAAAGCATTATCATTTCAAGTAATTTATAAATTTTCAAATGCAAAAAATACACTGATGTTCAAAATTAAGAGAATTTTTGCATTTGATCAGTTATCTCAAGAACTGATAGACAGGTTTTTAATAAATTTGTGATGGAAATATGTTGATATAATGCACAATAAATAAATAAATAAAAAGCACACTACAGATAATTTATACATGCATCATCATGCTTAACCTATAAAAGACGGGTAGCCTAAATATCGGCCAGAGCTGCAGTGTCTCAAAAAGACGGCTGTGGCCGAAATATCGGCCAGCGAATTCCCCTCGCCCCCAGCCTTCAGGGTGCGGAGATAGTCATTGTCCGAATAACCTCCCTTGCCACTTATGCGAGATGACCTTCGTGCCTCCCAACTATGGAGTTTCATAAATTTCCTTTCGTTTTCCTCAGCAGTGAAATCTTAGCAATTTGACAATAGTATTAATTTCACCAACTTTTCAGTGTCATTAAAAATGTTTTTTTTTTTATATTTCCCCTTTTTATTGTAATTTTTGTATTTATACTGCTTTTAAACACGCAAAATGCAATGTGTTCAATGCAATGAATATACCATACGTAATTGAGAAAACCTGTGATAGAAAAGAAACTAACTTTATTATTTATTATTATGTTTTTAAGTAAAGGAAAAATAATTTTTTAAAAAACGAAAGGATAAAAAAGCTTTTATCACAAAACTGCAAGAAAGAACTGACACCATTAGTTGAAAGAAGGAAATAACTACGATACAATGGGGGGGTGAATCATAAATTAAACTAATAAGGAAGACTCCACTGAAAAAGTAAACTAAACTAATATAAGAAAAATACAATGGGTTGTTTGATATATAAATACAGATTTACCAATGCTTGAAACAAATAAAAGCGAACTGCAGATTATGCGAGAAACAAATAGTTAATCTCATTCGAGTATAAATTAAAATGTTAATTAAACGTGTAATTCTAAACTAAAAACAAATAAAAGTGCAATAAACGACTAATTTACAGGGGCATTTGCTGCTAAGGCGTATTTTCATTATGACGCAATGCCAAAAGTAAATTCCAAAATACGAAATTATTTAGCTACGAAATCTCATTATAATATGTTTCCCTAGTTTAGGGAAAAGAAACAGCAGAGAAGAGAAAAAATTCAACAAATTCTTTTATATTATTCCCTAGTCCCTTATCTGAAAATTAACAAAGGCGACCCCCAAAGACGATCTACAGGAAAAGTTGCGAAAGAGTAGTAGTTTTTCTTTACAGTGGCAGCTAAAAGGGGGTGAAAATGCATTTGGATTTCCCGTCTTTTTAAGTGAAGCCTTTCCAAACTGCCCCGTCTCTTAAAGGTTAATTCTTATCAGCACAAAAAGGTTTAAAACAGGGATTGCATAATCAAACAATATGGATTATGGTCCCCTCTAACAGTTATACATACAGCTGTCTTGATGTGACCTTTACCACATTAAAAATAAAGCAGTTTATGAGGCCCTGTTGTAATCAGTCACATTTCTACAGCAGTGTTTTCACGCTCTTAAGAGGAAGGATGCTAGTTGCACTTGTTCTCCCAAGAGTATCCCAGACATGTTCTATAGAGTTTAGGTTTGGATATCTGGTTTGTCTATCCATCCAGTTAATATCCAAGCATTGTCATCCATAAAAATGAACTTTGAGCTAACTGCATCTCTGAAATGGTAAATATCAGCTTGCCATAGTAAACTCCTTTGTTGTCTGCTTTATGCGATGCTTCTAACAACTCCTAAGAATTAAAAATTAAGTTTGTAGTCATGGAATAGCAGAGTCAGTTGCCAGGATTTAAATTTTGACTGTTAAATACTTTGAATCACTATTTGTTCAGTCCTCTAAGGAATGGAAGTTAATTTTTTTAAAACATTATTTTAGGTTTATAGGTCAAGCAAAATTTTAAATGAATTCTTTATTTTTTTACATTGTGGTAATTACTGAGTACTTTTGCGTTGAAAGTTTCTGACAGGATTTAGGATTATTTGGATTATAGCAAAGCTCTCCAGGGCTGGTGCCAGAGCATGTGCATCAGGTGCAGCCACAGTGGGTGGCAAACTTTAGGGGTAAAAAAATATGTAAAATTTAGGCTGTCAGAATGTAGGAAAACAGAATGTAGGAATTGTGATTGTGCTTACAGTGAAAAGCCTAGCACCAGCACTGGCAAGGGCTATCTGCTTTAAAGGGATTCATGCTATACATGGGAAAACAGGAAAACTCAGTGCAGCTAGCTTGTTTCCTGGGATATGAACCCAAGTTGAAATAACTGCTCAGCTGCTGGTGATAAGGTAAAGATAGATAAAAATTCATTCAGTAGTCTGGAAGATTGTGCTAAAGTTAATATTAAGTCAAATTGAATTTATTCGTATAGGTAAAATTGTGAATTTTTATTGGAAATGCAAATTCTGCTGTTTAACAATAAGAAAAATCATATTTGGCAATTTATTATATTCCTTTGTCCTTAGCATCATGAAATCGTTTATACCATAGTGACACCTAAGTATTCACTGATCTTAAAATTGTTATTAATTGAAGGAGTTTGAAAGTAAGAAACTTAGATATAAGTTTTAAATTTTGGAAAAATGTTATTAATTGATGGAGTTTGAAAATAAGAAACTTAGATATAAGTTTTAAATTTTGTTTCTTGGTTTTATTTTCCCTTTTGTTGGAATAAATGGAATTCTGTATGTATTTTATTATTAATGCATACAATGCCTCATATTTATTATATTTTTCTCATGACATAAATGTTATTTATAGGCAGGTGTTATTCCTTAAAACTCCAGACAGTAAAACCTTCCATTATACACAGTGCATCTAAAAGAGTTTCAGGACTAATTCTTTTAAAACAAATTCCAGCTAAATGGTAATTGACAGTATGACACTTCAACCTATGTTTGCTAGATTATCATCTGCTTATAGGTAGAATATTTTATGCAGTTAATCATTTGCATTGATCAAGTGAACATCTACTGCAATGGATTTAAACAATATTTCAAAAGATAATTTTTGTGAAGGAATCCAGCAGCTTCGGGAACATGCCAAGCATTACATAGATTTACAAGGATTATATCTTGCAGACTAAGAAGTATGAATCTTGTTTTCCTTAACTTTCGGTTTTCTGCAAACTTAATCCTAAAACTTAACAGATGTACTGTGTATATCAGACAAGCTAATTTATGCAAATTATTCTGTTATGTTAGGGCAAAATAAGTTATGATAATGTATCTTTCAGTTGGCCCAGGCACCTGAAACAGCTCCACTTGGATTAATGTTAATACAAACTGCATTTGAAGAATTTACATCACCTAGGGAAGATCTGGCTGTCACTCGGAAGGAAGAATTACATAGATTAATGCTGGAACAAGTTCCCGTTGTTCTGAATATTTTAGCTGGTAAAATTTATGTTATAAGAACTATGCAATGAACATATTTTTAGCTGTGACATTAGGATCAATTTTTATTTTTATTGCAAAATTTTGTAATTATAAGATTAATCACACAAAAAGTGTTTTGATTAATAAATCAGAATCAGATTGATGAAAATATTTATTGTAAACATTTTAACATTTAAAAAAAATTCTTAGATTTAATTGTATTGATTCCATTTGATGTATTTCCCCTAATTATCTGATGAAGAAAATACACTCAGCCATTTTCTGCAAAAGGATTAACTTGCTAGCATGTATTTAATAATATCTAAAGAATAGAATGGCGAAGAAGAAAGATAACAAGGATTATTAAAAAAAAACAACCACATGTCATAACCAGTAAAAACATAAAGAGCTAATTGTTTTGGTCTGTACTGCATCATTTGAATTGATACTGTTAATTGATAATGAATAATCTAATACACTGACTACCAATAAGTATTTGGACACCTGTGATAGAAAAGAAAAACTAACTTTATTCAAAATCAATAGTTGGTAGAGCCCCACGAGGTAATTACAGCGTGGACCCTCCGGGGCATACTTTCCACAAGTCTGTGTGCAGCTAGGGAATTTCTTCCACTCGGCTTGGAGAAACATAGAAGTTTCTTAACCGATTTTGCAGGTAGTGCACCCCTGAATTCGGCAATCAATCATCCCAAGGTTTTGATCCTTTCGGTCTGGACACGTCAGCCAGTCCATTCGATGAACTCCATGGCACCATACAGCCTTGGTTAACGTCGAAACATGGGCATTGTCGTCCTGAAAGTAAAGGGGTCCAACCGAAAACTGCCACAACAAAGAGCTCATTTCATCCAAAATAGTGCAGAGGCATCGTAGTTGAGCTTACCATGAATGTACAGGGTCCCAGCCATACCAGGAGAAACACCCCAGACCATAATTTCCACCTCCGCCGAACCTGATGTTGGCACATGCTTCTGGAGAGACCTCTATAGGTAGACGCCATACCCAACCCTGCCATCGAACGGTAAAGTGAACCGGATTTGATACCGACTACTGATTCGTCCTCCATAGACTCGTTTCCCTGATCTACGGTCCAATTTCGATGGCTTTGCACAATTACCGGCAGTGCGGTTGCTTTGTGACAAAGGCTTATGGGCAGCAGCTGACCATGAAACTAAGCAATGGCTTCCTACGGATGGTATCATTGAAAAATACTCCGGAGACCTGTATAAACTCTCGCGGATGAGGCCCGGTTGTGCGGTTCTTCCGAATTTCTCTGGACACATCTGTCCTATCTCCCAGTTTCGTTGGTTTGGCCGACTCGGGGCAAAATTCCGAACAACACACGCACCTCCCTTCTTAGTCACATAGGCTACTGTCGATTTTGAGTGCTTCATGTCGCTAGATATGTCCCTTAAGGATCGGCCACATTTGTAATACCCAATAATTATACCTTTCTCGAAATCAGGGAGCTCCGAACTGCGAGGCATCTTGCATGCGACTAAAGCTGATGCTGTTTCCTACGCGATATATACCGCCGGAGACCGTGACGTACCTTAGGACTGCAGATATCGTCATTTGCATAGGTGTCGAAATGTTTGAAAATTAGTATTGATAACAGAAAGTTACTTCCTTTGTAATTTAAAAACCAAGGTTTAGTTAAAATTCTAGAATTTTAATTAGTATTTTTTTTTTAAGATATAGTTGCTGAGCTGCAAGAGATAGAAGTAGTTTGATAGAACTACATCCATGTTTTGCACTGTGGCATCCTTTTTGGCTAAAATATTTGTTTGTTCGTTGTTAGGAACCCCACAGTGTACGGGGGATCCAATTTGAGGTTACTGCAGTGTTTTGTGATTGCAGTGCATTATTGAGGTGAGATCAGTATTTGAGAATCATGCAAGACATCGGGCATTTGACAAAGACAGTTGCATCGATGGACGCACATGAATAAACCAGAATGATGCATTTCCTTGGTATAAATTGTTTTTATTTTAATTGGTTTAAAGCCATGCGGATTGTCTCCACTTTGCTGTCAAAAGAGGTTGCTTAGTTCCTTCAGGGATGTGTTATCGAAATGTTTTGTTGAAGATTCCCATGCCTACATTTACAAAACTGTTAATTCTTGAACCATTTTGTATCAGATCCTACAAACTTTGATTTTCTGGACATTCAGATCAGAAGAATGAAGTGGTAATTGAACTAAATTGATTCTTGTGGATCTAATGGATAGTTTTGTTTGCAACTTTTGTTACAAACAATGAATCAACATGAGCATTAGCTACATTAAAAAGTATTGAATAACTAAGCTTTAAGAAAGAGCATTAGCTATATTAAAAAGTTTTAAATAACTGAGCATTAAGAAAGGAAATATGGTTTTCTTAATTATTTAATAAAATTAAGTGGATTTTTTAAAATTTCCCTTGTAAATATTTTATTTCAAGTATTGGTCCACTATATATATGTTACCAGGAAAGACCGAAATTGTCGACTTTCACCGGAGAATGTCAACATTCACCAAATACGTCGGTGAAAGATTGAATATTGAATTAAATTCTTGTACATTCGGACTCTCACTGGTGTATGTCGACAATCACAGATACGCTCTGGTGTAGATGAAAAGAGAGGCGTATATGTAACGTGTCTTGCAAAAGAAAGTATTCCACAAATAAATGCAGTTGTAAAAAGCAAGGGCCTATTGGGAATTCAAATGTCATACTAGTTAAGTCAATGCAATAAATAAGATTTCATCAATAATTTAGGAAGTTTTTAAATTCTATATTTTACTTATCATTTTGAATGTAATGTGTGTTTCAAGCTCTCAGTTCCTATTTTAGTCTCAAGGCGTTTTTTCGTGACTGAATGACGAAGAAGAAATATATATTCTTTATTTTCAAGATCAACATTAGTAAATGGTGAATGTCGACAGTTCCCGTGTAAGTCAGAAATAGTATCAGAAAAATTTTGGACATACACCAAGCGACTATGTGAATATTGACATTCACCGGTGAAAGTCGACATTCTCCAGATTTCGGTGTTTCACAGTAACATATATATCTACTATTGTATATCTTTACGTATCTATATATCTTCATGTATTAGTCCACTGTATAACTTCTTATTAAATTTGAAATTAAAGATTAATCTATGTTTTGATAATTTGCTTGTTCCAAATATGTTTTTCATCTAAGTTACCTGAATTTCAGTGAAAAGTTACTAAATATTATGAAATGATAAACATACAATTATATTGCGTACATTAATGCAAACACGCAATACTTATTTTCAGTTCCAAGATTGTGTAGAAATTAAATGATGCTAATATTTTATAATTTTTTAGGTCATCTGGATGCTGTTTTAGAAAAACATAGCCATTTAGTGACTGCTACCCCTCCACCTTCACCAACCCATTATCAGAATAACAGTCAACAAACTCTTTTTAGCACATCTCCTCTGCACACAGGTAATTTTATGTTTTGTTTACTTTATTTAAAAAAAAAATTTTGGAAATAATTAAATCTATAATATCAAAATTTAGTACTTGAATTAATGAATACTTGACAATGAAATTAGTGAATACTTGACAATATTCATTAATTTTATATTACTTGAAATTTAGTTTTCTAATCAATTAGTAGATGAAAAATTCAGCTCAAAGATCAATTATTACTGTGTTGTATCTGAAACATTTCATAAAATGTAGACACATGTATTTTATTCTGCTTTACAATTTGTTTTCATCAGCGTGGTTTTAAGAATCTAGATGCTGAAAATAGTTTTATAATTTCTAATTTTGTGAGTGCCTGGAAAACACAGCTCAGCTTATTATCTTTAATATGTAACATAACCTTTAAAATAAATGGCTTAGTGTGAGAGAATTTAATCGATATGTATTTATTTTAATACATTCCCCCCCTCCCAATTTACCAATCGGATGATTTTCAAGTTTTTCTCTTTTGTATGTTGATTAGTGTATTGTGTTTTAATAAAATATGAAATTGTGGAAATACTATGTGCTATTTTATTGTATATAATATTATGTTCAATAAAATTAGAGGAGCACATTATTAAATGATTTTATTGTAAGCATTGAGTAAAATGTCATTGAATTACGAAAAGTCCTTTTGAATTATGAAAAGACAGTTGTCAGAAGGAGTCTGGAATGCAAATTAACTGCAACAATGCCATAATTGACTTCTGTGTAAAGATACATAAAATTGATAGTTCATTTGGAACTGTGTTCTTGTAAAGGTACTTGCGAGAGAAGCTGTTTTTTGCATTTATTTCATTTTAGCATGCCAGATCAACATAGTTGGACAGAATGTATTGTGGACCAACTCAGAGGAAGGGTGGTAACCATTTAATGCTTTATTATTATTTTATATCCTTACCTTCTAAC